ACTTTAAAATTTTTTTTGAAGATTTTTTAATTTTTATTTATTTGACAGAGAGAGAGACAGCGAGAGAGGGAACACAAACAGAGGGAGAGGAAGAGGCAGGCTTCCCGCCAAGCAGGGAGCCTGATGCGGGGCTCGATCCCAGGACCCTGGGATCATGACCTGAGCCAAAGGCAGACGCTTAATGACTAAGCCACCCAGGTGCCCCTAAAATTTTTTTATTTAAAGGAATACGGTACTGGGGCGCCTGGGTGGCTCAGTCAGTTGAGCCTCTGACTGTTGATTTCGGCTCAGGTCATTATCTCAGGATCCTGGAATTGAGCCCCATGTAGGGCTCCAAGCTCAGTGGGGAGTCTGCCCCTCCCCTCTACATGTGTACTCTTTCATAATAAATAATCTCTAAAGAAAATCTTAAAAAAAAAATAGTACACAAAAAAGTTGGACTCAAATGTTTATAGCATCTTTATTTGCAGCTATCGCCCAAGGGGAAGCAGCACATGTTCAGCAAAGGGCAAACAGATAAACTGTGGTCCACCTATACAGAGGATATTAAGAACAAACTATTGATAGATACATGTTGGTTGGATCTCATGTTACATGCTAAGGGAAAGAACTCAGACCCAAAAGGTCGCATATTCTATGATCCAATTGTATGTAAAATCTGGAAAAGGCAGAACTATAGGGATAGAGAAAAAATTCAGTGGTTGCTAGGAACTGGAGGTGGAAGATAGGCTTGAATACAAAGAGATACCAGGAAGAATTGTGGAGAGTGACTGAACTATTTTTGATTGCGGTGGTGGTTATCTGCCTATGCATTTGTTACGAAAGAATGAATTTTACTGTGTGTAAAGTAAATAGTTAATAAAAAAGCAAAACACAGAAATAGCCCTCATGTGCTCTCTTGTAGCAAAAGATAACAAAATACATGAACAGGAAATGCAGCCAAGATAAACAGTAAAAGGGAAAGAGATGGTAAAAGACTGAGGGGTGAACCAACTTCACTGTGCTACAAGTTTCCTGATGGAGTTAAAAATAAGTCTTTGACACGTGCAAGAAGAACCTAGTAGATTGGCTTTGGAAAAACTGCATATTTAGGTGTTCAGTGTTCTCTCTTTCAGGCTTTAGAGGTTTTACAATGAGGGTAAAATGTTTTGTTTCCAAGAAAGTCTGAAACATGCACAATCTGAAAGATGCACCACCATTCTTAACACTTTGCTAGACTTACATATAAATTTCATATATGTACTTAATAGGCATATATTTGGTATTTGCTAATTATTTGTGTTCACTTACTGGACATTTAGACTGTTCCTAACTTACTCTGCACAAATAGTGCCGTGATGGACAGAGTTCTTTTAGCCAAAATGTTACATACAAACTTATTCTTTAAGGTAAGTGTATAAAAGTAGATTTGGTGAGTCGAAGGGCATGTGTTTTCAGACTTTTTAGAGACTATAGCAATTTATACTCTTAACATCCATGTATGAGTGCCCTTAGCCCCAGCCCTCCCCCCACCAGTATTGACAGATCTAGTCAGAAAGATAAAGAATGATATTTTTGTTCCAGGGGTTTCCTGTGAATAATTCTAAGAGCCTAGACTAAAGGGAAGTAATTACTTGCTTGTGTTATAGACTCAAAATTAGTGCCCAGCATAAAGTAGGAATAGTATTAGCGTGGCTGTAGGTGACAGAGGAAGAGAGAAAAGATGACTCCATTAAAAATAAAAACATTCTTTGATTGTAAATGTGTGGGAAGAGATCTAGTAGACTACATTAGTAACTGACAGGGATCATAATGGTAGAATTTGGGGTAGTTTTTATCATTTTTTTGCTTTCTGTTCTTACATAATAATCATATATTTGGTAAATAGTAAGAATTTGCTTCTTATACACCATATGTCTAGCAGATTTTTTTCTTTTCAAACAACTACCAGCTGGGTCCCCAAATCCTATGACTGCATAAGAATGCTGGTTTCCTCTCCCTTCAATAGCCTCTGCAACAGTTCCCCTGGCCCAGGCTTTTTGTGTGATTTCATATATTCTGCAAAAATAGAAAAGCCATTTACTTTCCTTCTGCCAAGTTAGTGCTAGTTTATTTCATGTAATTCTAACGAGCGTACTTCAGGGGAATTTACCAATAGTCTTAGATTTGTGAACATAGCAGTTTCTTGCACATACAGACCTGGGGTTCTGATGCATATGGGCCAAAGACCATACTTCGAGCACCACTGGTGTAATGATGAGGAACATGGGCAGTGGAGACAAATCCAGTTCTCCCTCCAGCTGGATTAGCTATGTGATCATGGATGGGCCAGGTAACTCAACTTCTTCAGCCTTGTTTCCCCTCTGTAAAGTACAGGTACCACCTCATTAGAACCCAGTGAGGATTAGCTGAGATTGCATGTGGACATTTACATCAGGGCAGGCCACAGTGTAAGTGCTCAGTTCATGGCAGGAGCCAGAAATAATGAACCCACGTTAATCACTGCTGCTCTGTAGCTTTCTTCCAGAAGGCTTTCATTTTACATTTCAGGAAGTTGTGCACAAATGTCAGGCTGGTGTGTGTTAACATTTCTGTCAGTGGCACCCGAATGTGTCATCCCCCCTTGATGTGTCTGTTACAGATTGCTCCAGCTGAAGCACCAGATGCTAAAGTGAGGATGGTGATTATCACCGGGCCACCAGAGGCTCAGTTCAAGGTATGTGTTCTAGAGTGTGTGCACATGTAACAAATGAATGGATTCAAAGAATGTTAATGCTTTCTTTTCAGGAACTCCATATCCTGGCTTCTCCCTTAATAAAACTCAGTAAAAACAATCTCCCAATGGAAAATCGTAAGGCTAAGAACAGAGCAGAAACATATCCAGAGTTACCCTTCAAAAAAAACAAAAAAACAGACTTTGTTTCAATTTTGAGAGTTTTGTAATGGTTGCTGGGTTTACCTATCTCCCAAAAGAGAATTTACTCAGTGCCTTCTTACTATGCGAAGGTGAGACCTTTAAGACTGACATTTACAAACTGTCCGGTTATTATGCCGTGGAACGCTTGTTCCCCAGATTTCCCTCTTGTCCTTGAGAGGCCTTAACCTTGAATTAAAATGCCCCCCTTTCTCTTACCCTTGTATTAACTCTGAGCCCTTGTCCATAGTCTGACTACAAATCACTCTAATACTTCCAATTTTACAAGCAGAAATGGTAGGAACTCCTCTGGCATTTGTTCTGGTGTGAACCATTGTTTGTATTTATTGGGGCTTGGGACCTTTGCAGCTGGAATGCCCTTCGTTGTATACTGAGAGTTGATGAGCAAAGACTGGGCATACAGGCTGCCCGTTCAAATCCCAGCTCTATCATTTATCTGCTTTGTGACCTTGGGCAAATTACTTAACCTTTCTCTGGCTACTCAGCTGTAAAATGAGGATTAGAACACCCACAAGGTTGAAACAAGGTTATAAGGTATAAAGAATATATAAAGTGCTTAGAATAATCCTTGCCACATAGGAAGCACAATATAAATAAGCTGGTGGTGGTGTTCAGCAGACTCGGGGTGAATCAGACTGACTCTGCCAAATTCTCAAGCACATACTTTCAAGTACATGATTTCTCCCATAAAACTTAGTACAAGTGTTGTAAAAATAACTACTGCATTCAAATTTAACTACTTTATCCCAAACCCATGTCTTATTCTTAGCACCTGTGTAACAGGACAACTCTTGAACCTTACGTTCCCTTAGCTCTAAAACGTGGCTAGTAACGGTGCCTACTTCTCCCCAATTTCCCCCCTGTTAAAATATCACTGTCATAGATCTCTCTTTTCTATGGGCCATTTTTCAGTAAAAATCCAAAGCTTTTTTCATTTCATTTACAGGAAGAACAGGAAACAAAAGGAGGTGCTTTGAGATGTGGGTGCAGTTGGCTAGGCTCTAACTCAGGTGAAGAAATTTAGTCTCTTACACCAGCCTTATGGTCCAGGCAGTTGAAATCCTAACTCAGAAATGTTGCAAACTGTTTCCTATCCCAAACCTACAGGATCAGTCACTTTTAGTTTGAAATCTTAAAAGATAAACATAGACATCAATTACTGTGTTTCTTCTTGGTGCTGATCTCTTTTTTATAAATGGAACTATCTTATAATTCCTATAATTGTATGCTGGGAAACTCGGTTTGTTTCCCTATGTCCTTCAATGCCCATGTGGTATGGTATAGTTATCTTAAATGGAATATTTAAGAAAAGCTGTAATGCTTAAATATTTATGTGATCAGTGATAATTACAAGTGAATTATTTTAGAGATCTAAGGAGTGGTAAACCTCCTATCCCATATTTTTTCTGATGAATTAGAGAGCTTTTGTTTTGTAAGAGAGATGTATATCCCTATGTCCTTTGACTGTGTTAATACCTAGATCTGTGGCCTGAGACTTTGAAAATGAATGGAATATAGGGTACCAAGATGGATTTTGTTTTTTCTGTAACCCCCTCTAATGAGCTTATTTCTGCACCAATGAAAATGTAAAATGTGTTGGGGACTTTCGTTTTTATGATACTCTGGTAGCTTGTCAGATTAAACCAACTCTGACTTCTTTATCCTTTGGTATATACTAGAGCAAATTAATGGCTGTACATAATAGAAGTTTAAGTATAATGTCTCGTTGTATGCAGTAGGTATCAGGATGTGTTGACTGTAAGTATCGTAAGTGTGTGTGTCAACCTGATTTTGTTGCTTTATTCAAAGTAGAAGCCACTCGGCTAAGATGAAGAAACCCTTCAGTAGAAAATATCCTTTCAGCAGGTGTGAGCCTGCCACAGCTGCCTCTGCAGTTCTTCCCCGTCTCTTAGCCTCAAGAAAAACGCAATTACTTTCTTACTGAAAGCAGGAAAGATTTTACCTTTTACAATCTGAGGGCAAATGGCCATTTGCCCACAAAAATGATTCATTTTTAGTTAGGCCGAATACTAATTGGCTTTAATTCTTTTTGTTCAAAGAACAGATCGTATTCTTGGGTCAGTCATTCAGTTGCCACCTCTGTGGTGCCTGGTTGTTACTGTGAACCTTCCTAACTTTGCCTCTTAAGCCATCTGCAACAGTCTGTCCCCTGCAGATGTCCCTACCAAGAGCCATTCCAGTGGATTTGGGCCATCTCTGAAGTTAATGGACCTTCATGAATGACACTGACAGACTATGTTCTCATCTGTAGGCTCAGGGAAGAATTTATGGAAAAATTAAAGAAGAAAACTTTGTTAGTCCTAAAGAAGAGGTGAAACTTGAAGCTCATATCAGAGTGCCGTCCTTTGCTGCTGGCAGAGTTATTGGAAAAGGAGGCAAAACGGCAAGTACTTCAGCAAAACCTGTGCAGTGGTATGAAAGGGAAAGCGTTGAAAGGTACTTAGGAGTTCCAAGTCCCTGAATTTGGGCTAACTTGTAAAAAGCAGGATCATCTGGGCCAAGGTTTGGAGAAGACTGCCTTCCATTCTTCCTGTTGGTGTCAGCACTAGTCGAAGTAATGCCTTGCTTCGAGCCCACTTTGTGTGGGAGGACTCTCATGTACAAGGGGCATTTAGCATTTTTGGTTGACGTAACTTCAGCTTTTGATTTTTGCACACTTGATGGAAAGAAAACTTCTTAAAATGTCATCTACCTTTATAACCTACCTCTGTAACAAAAAAGCAAATGGTTGCCAGTTTCTCTTTAGCACATATAACTTCTAAGGTGTTAATTTTGAAGTAATTGAGTGCATCCACTTTGGAATCAGACTTTCAGGGATTCAGTCTCGTTCTGCCATTCACTTGTGTAATGGGTCAAATCAATTTTTTTGGCTAAGTCTTAGTTTACTATCATCTTGAAATGGGCACAGTACTGATAACCTGATAGAATTATCGGTGGTTTAGATGAAATTTGTAAAGCCACAGTTTAGTGTTTGGCACATAGTAAGTGCTCAGCAAATGCTAATTTTTTTAAAACCTCAATTTAACATGATCTGTGTTTATCTTGTTCAGGTGAATGAGCTCCAGAATTTGTCAAGTGCAGAAGTAGTTGTCCCTCGTGACCAGACACCTGATGAGAATGACCAAGTGGTTGTGAAAATAACTGGTCACTTCTATGCTTGCCAGGCAAGTGGGCTCTAATGTCATAAGCAAGCTCTTTTGCTGCTTTCCCAAATGGAAGCAATTCTCCTGTGGGTGTGCCCCCACCCCATATAAATCTTCAGCGTTGTTTGGTGCTTAACACACTTAATCCCTTTTTAGCAGGTAATTTCAGACTACTAGGAAACTAAACTAGTATGTATCTTTAACCTTCAAATCTGGAGTTGTTAAAATGGAAGAGTAAAATCACTTTTAGTAACCTTTGATTAGGTAGAAATTTCAAATCTCTCTCCTTTTGCAGGTTGCCCAGAGAAAAATTCAGGAAATTTTGACTCAGGTAAAACAGCACCAACAGCAGAAAGCTCTGCAAAGTGGACCACCTCAGTCAAGACGGAAGTAAAGGCTCAGGAAACAGCCCACCACAGAGGCAGATGCCAAACCAAAGACAGATTGCTTAACCAACAGACGGGCGCTGAACCCCTAATATCCAGAATTACATGCACAAGTTTTTACCTAGCCAGTTGTTTCTGAGGACCAGGCAACTTTTGAACTCCTGTCTCTGTGAGAATGTATACTTTATGCTCTCTGAAATGTATGACACCCAGCTTTAAAAAAATAAATAAGTGGGGGGAGGGAGGGAAAGAGAGGAGCTCTGCACTTCCCTTTTGTTGTATTCTCGGTGTAACAAATATTCTAATTTTTCTTAATATACCCCCCCTAATGCCAGAAATCGGCTAAATTCATAAAATATAGATTGCTCCAAAGTCCAATTGTTAAAATTGGATCAGAATGCAATGATTACAGGAACTTAAGCTATTAGCATAGAAAAACTGTTCTCAGTTTTATTTTTATCTAACACTAACATGAATAACCTAAGGGAAGTGCTGAATGGTGTTGGCAGGGGTATTAAACGTGCATTTTTACTCAACTACCTCAGGTATTCAGTAATGCAATGAAAGCAAATTGTTTTTGTTTTTGTTTTGGAAAATTTTATATACTTTATAAAGATAAAAGTCCAACAGTTTTTTAAAAAACTTTAATTAGCTAACAGGAAAATAACAGAAAAATTTTACTTCTGGCTGGTGACCGTAAAGCTGGAAAATTAATTTCAGGTTTTTTGAGGCTTTTGACACCATTAGTTGGAAAGTCCAATAAATGTTCAGTGATATGGAGCAGTGCCTATATTTGGAGAGCAGCAATACCATTTAGTTTTTCGTTTATGGTAGGGAACTCTTTTGATGGTACTAACAGAGCAAAGTGGTTGCAGGAGGTTTTGGAACGGCTAGTTTAAATGGCTTCAGGAGACTTCAGTTTTTTTGTTTGGGTACGTGATTAAATGCATAAAAATGCTTTGTGCTTTAGACTATCACTACCTAAAGTGCATCAATGAAGAGATGCAGCCCCTGTGGACTCTGGCAAAAAGCAAGCTTCAGCTTGTCCTACAGGATGCTTAGTTTGCCAACACGCTTCAGACCAGTTGGTCTACACTTTGAGCAGACCCCGACAGAACTGCTTCGTGAAGACCAATGGGGTACTCAGACGGTGGGACAGTGTTTAAGGGCAGTATCAAGGCTACATCTCCATGTGCCAGGCACTGTCATGAGCCTCACTAAGCTGTTTTGAAGATTTTTAAACAATGATCAATCAAGAAAAATATAAGGCCACCTAAAATATTACATAAAATACAGCAGGATTTCTGTATTCTCTGCAACCAATTATTTGAAAAGTCAAAAAGTAGAGGATACCAGAAAACAATATTTGGAATATAATTTGACTGTGAGAACACATTTGACCTTTGATACAGGATACTGAATTCATGTGCCCATTCCTTAACTTGATGGCAGAGCCTAGTATGTACAATTATGTGGGTGTGGGTGGTCTCCAAGGCCACAGTGCTCTCAGAATTGTTTGCTTTTGTTCATTGAATGATCAGTCATCATTATCACACTGATCTGAAGGGCATATATAATAAGCCTTTGAAAAATATGGGCTCCTTTGTATTTCAAGATGAATTTCTACAGACTAGATAACGTTTTTCTGAAGATCACTGTTATCAATTAAACATTTTCAAAATGACTTGAAATGTTTTCCTTAATGTTTTCAGAAAACCAGTTTATTTTGTAGTTTTAGCCAAAAAGTGCCCTTTGTCACACAATTCACCTAGCATTCATAATTTTTTCATATAATGAATTGCAAAAATAAAATCATAGACTGGCTTTCTGGTTGGATTTCAGGTGAGATGTGCTTAGGCCAGAGCTCTTCCTCAGTGTTTAATTTTTCCCATGTTTGTTGTTTTTTTTTATATATATATATACAGATAGGTGCTGCATTTATATCTGCTGGTTTAAAATTCTATCATATTTCACTTCTAGCCTTTAGCAAATCATGTTTTACCTTTAATTAAGCAATGGTAATGGAGTATCTAATTATGTAATTGAGTTTTGTACTCACCGCACATGGATCATTCCTCATCTGTAATGTGCCCCAAATGCAGCTTCGTTTTCCAGATACCTTGATGCAGAATAAAGTTTTTCATCAGTAGGTGCAGCCTGGTGTATGGTATGTTTTATTTCTGGTTTTTCAAAAAAATGTGAATGTTCAAATTTAATCAAGCTATAAACTCAGATTTTTAAGTAATACTATGTCAATCTCAATTTACCACTAGATATTGGTGCTTACCTTATTCTCTTCATTCTATAGTACTTACTGTGGATCTTGATACTACTGGTGCCTATGAAGTAAGAACTGTAAGTTTTAAGTAATAAGACCAATGGGGTGGTTATATTTTTTGCTTTATTTAAAAAAAAAAAAAAAAATGGCTGTTCCAGAATAAGATTTACACTTAGGCAAAATCAAACTGTGGGCAGAGTACAGGGGCCAATGTTAACTCTGGGAAATCCTGCTGGGATCTCAGGAATAAAAACAATATATTAAAATTTTAGTTTAAATGTACTGATTCTTGGTGTGACGATCAGCTCACTTACCTACAATTTCCACATTCATTTATTTAGCATGAGTGCCCACAGATAAGGCTTGTTTTGACAACAACCTGACCAATCAGGTGGAGTTTGAGAGCTGTATTTTTAAGAAGTAACTCAATCCAATTCTGATAATGACTAACAATTCATATCATTTTATTCTCATTTGAACTCCACTGGAGTCAGGGATGAAGTGTCCTCTTCTATTCCAAGAATGAAGTCTTCAGGTAAAGTCTCAGGTGCTATCTGTGCTAACTGGTCATCATAAGAACGTAGGGTCCATAATTTCTCTAATTCATAGGTTTCTCTGGTTTCTGGAAGCATCAAGTGAATCACCATGCTGCCTATCAATCAAGGACAGATAAGAGTTAAAAATAAAGAAGCAGTTCATTAGCTTTTATTTTTGTGCTCTCACAAACCTCTGTGATAGAACAGTGGTTGTCAAAGTATGGACCCCAGATTAGGATTACCTGGGGATTTACTAGAAATGCAAATTATGGATACCTTTCCTACAAAAATACCATAGAAATGACGTTCTGCTTTTCTAAGTGCATCATACAGGAGGTACATGAGAGCAATATGTAACATTCCTGGTGATGTTGACTTCACTCTCCATGGGTATCACATTTCTGCATATCCTATGAGCAAAGCATGGATTGCCTTTTGTTCTAGACTATCTTTTCAAGGACGACCGTGTAGTGAACAGTCTCAGAGGCCATCTCCCTCTGGAACAAAGGACAGGTTTACTTATAGCAGGGGTTCTCAGGACATTTTTGATTTTCACAAATGGGGCTGGAGAAGAGAAGGGAGACTGCTAAACATCCTACAATGCACAGGCTATATCTCCCCACTCCCACCTGAATCACGTGGTCCTCAGCCTTAGCAGAAAAAGTGTCTTCCACCACAGCAAGTGTGGGTCTGTTTCCTGCCCATTATAAACCGGGTTCCTCTCAGAACTTTGTCTGCAGATGTCATCTGGCCCTGTGTTTCTCTATTAGAAACGGGGGCTCAGGGAAGCTGGTGAGGAAAAAAAATGCTGCTACTGTTACTGTGATGAGTAATAAAACTGTCCTTCATCTCTAACCCAGGAATAGCTTGGAGTCTTTGACTAATACCCATGAAACTGGGCAGCTAACTTGTTATAAAATCTCAGACCCTTCACAGTTCTTAACAATTACTGTTTTTTCCTTTTTAATAAGTATCTTGTGGGGGAAATACTCTGAAACTATGTATATATTAATACCCAAATTTATTAAGTCTTTTCAAAACTCCAGTCCTCTGCTCTTATCCTTCTCATTACCTGGAATGCCCTTTAACCTTCACCTCATCAGAGTCATTCTGGGCCAATGTTATGTACACGCCAAGCCTTCTACCACCACTGTGGGACCTCTCCCATGTTATCCACTCTGCTCTCCACCATCTTTCTGACCTGCATGGCTAGTTATATACGTATCACATTAGGTGAGGATTTCACATGCTAGTAAGACCTCTTGGGTTATAATTAAAACTTACTGTAAACAAATAATAAAAATTTCACATGAAAAAAAGCAATCTGAATCTCAAATCCTTTTGCAACTGAAAACAGTTCAAGATTAGGATAAAACAAGTATTTATCTGTAAAATATGTCAAAATAACTTACCAAAGTCCACGCACAGCCAGTCATCAGTGTCCTTCCCTTCAATCTTAACATGAGGCTCACTTTTATATTTCAAGTATTTATACTGAAAAAAGCCAGATTATATATTAGGGGGGGGAGGGTGGAGGAAGTCTCTGTTCTCACTGAGGATGGTCTTTGGGGGTATTTTTCTTGATCTTAAGAGGAATGAGCAGGCTAGTTCTCAAATTAACTACACCCCATAATAAACAAGTTGAGGACACTATTCCCCCCCCTAAATCCTACCTACCTCCTATCCTCTCTCTACTGAATCCTCCTGCCCAAACCCTTCTGAAAGGGCCATCCTACTCATATCCACCAAGGTGTCTCTGAGGCAGAGAGGACCAAGCTCTAACATCTGGTCCTCATGTACATCAACCACCTTCAGGATAATGTTCATGGGATTTTATCATCCCATGTCTCTATTCCCAACAGGTCTTATGAATGGTCCAAAACAACAGATATACTAGTACCAGACAAATAGACTTTAAGTCAAAAACTATTACAAGAGACAAAGAAGGATACTAATACAATGATAAGAGGGTCAAATACCCCAGATGATATAATGATTATAAACATATGCACCAAAAATCAGAACTCCTAAACATATGGAAACATTGACAGAACTGAAGGGAGCAACAGATGACAACACAACAATATAGAAGACTTAATACTTCATTTTCAATAATGGATAAAAAAACCAGACAAGATCAATAAGGAAATAGATGACTTGAACAACACTACAGGCTAAATGGAGCTAACAGACATTAATAGAACATTCTACCCAAAAGCAGAATACACATTTTCCTAAAGTGTACATGTAACATTCTCTAGGAAAGATCATATGTAGGCTACAAAACAACTCTCAATAAATTTAAAAAGACTGAAATTGCAAAGTATATTTTCTGATCACAATGAAATGAAACTAGAAATGAACAGCAGGAAAACCAAAAAGCTATAAAAACAATGAGTCGAAGATACCACAAGGGAAATCAGAAAATATCTTGAGACAAATGAGATTAAATTACAACATACCAAAACTTAATGGGATACAGAGCAAGTAGTGTTAAGAGGGAAATTTATAGTTATAAATGCTTCCATGAAAAAAAAAGTTCCCAAATCAACAACCTAAATTTACACCTTAGGGAACTAGGAAATGAGGAACAAATTAAAGCTGGTAGAAGGAAGGAAACAAAGATTAGAGAAAACCAAAACTGATAAAAATCCATGAAACCAAGATTTGGGCCTTGAAAAAGATAAACAAAACTGACAAATCTTTAGCTAGGCTAAGAGAAAACAGAAGACCCGAATAATTAAAATGAGAAATAAGCAAGGGGACATGACTTCTTAAAAAAAAGCATTGTGAGTGCTATGAACAACTACACATCAGCAAACTGGATAATTTAGACAAAATGGACAAATTCCTACAAACACACAACTTACCAAGATTGAATTGGGATGAAATTGAAAACCTCCAAACACTATTATATCTCAATTAAAAAAGAAAGAAAGAAAAAAAGAAAAGAAAAAAAAAAACGATCTCCCAACAAAGAAAAGCCCTGACCAGATGGTTTCACTGGTGAATTCTACCATTTAAACAAAAGCTAACACAAATTCTTCTCAAACTCTTCCAAAAAATTGAAAAGGCAACACTTCATAACTCATTCTATGAAATTACCATTACCATGAAACCAAGGCCAAAAGACACTACAAAAAAGAAAAAAGAAAACTACAGACCAATATCCTTGATGAACACTGATGCAAAAATCCTCAATAAATTACTAGCAAGCCCAATTCAACAGCACATTAAGAGGATTATACACCATGACTGAGTGGGATTTATTCCTGGAATGGAAGGATGGTTCCACATGAAAATCAATCAATATAATAAACCACATCAACAAAATGAAAAACAAAAGCCACAGGATCATCTCAAATTTATGCAGGAAAGTATTTTACAAAATTCAACACCCTTTCATGATAAAAATACTCAACAAACTAAAAGATGAAAAGATAAAAGATAAAACTCAAGATAACAAAGGTCATACATGAAAAGCCTATAGCTATTATCCTACTCAATGGTGAAAGATTGAAAGTTTTTAGTTTTTCCTCTAAGGTCAGGAACAAGCCAAGAATGCCCACTTTTGCCACTTCTATTCAACACAGTGCTGGAAGTTCTGGCCAGAGAAATTAGAGCAAGGGAGGGGAAAAAAAAAAAAGGTAACCAAATTGGAAAAGAAATAATAAAATTATCATGGTTTACAGACAACACGACTTATATGTATAAAACCCCAAAGATTCCACAAAATCACATGTTAAAATAAATGAATTCAGCAAAGTTGTAGGATACAAAATTAACATGCCCAATCAGCTGTGTTTCTATACACTACCTAATCAACAACCTGAAAAGGAAATTAACAATTTCATTTACAATGGAATCATAAAGAATAAAATACTTACCAATAAATTTAACCATGGAGACAAAAGACTTGTACACTGAAAACTACAAGATGTTGCTAAAGAAATTAAAGATGACATCAACAAACAGGCACTCTATTCATGGACTGGAAAACCTAATATTGTTAAAATGTTAGTACTACCCAAAGCTAATTCAATGCAATCCCTACCAAAACCCCAGTGACTTTTTTTTTTTTTTTGCAAAAGTAGAAAATTCCATCCTAAAATTTATATGTAATCTAAAAGGACCCCAAACAGCCAAAAACAATCTTGAAAAGTCAGAACACGTTGGAGCTCTCAACTTACTGATTTCAAAACTAACTACAAAGCTTTCATAATCAAAACAGTGAGCAAGCAGGACACCTGGGTGGCTCAGTCAGTTAAGCATCCAACTCTTGGTTTCAGCTCAGGTCATGATCTCAGAGTCGCGAGACTGTGCCACGTGACAGCCCATGCACTCAGCGCAGAGTCGGCTTGAGATTCCCTCTGCCCACCACCCACCTGTGTACTCTCTCAAATAAATAAAAATCTTTTTAAAAAGGGTGAGGCACCTGGGTGGCTCAGTCGGTTAAGCATCTGCTTTAGGCTCAAATCATGATCCAGGGATCCTGGGATCAAGCCCTGCCTCAGGCTCCCCGCTCAGTGAGGAGCCTGCTTCTCCCTCTGCCCCACCCCTCTCTGCTTGTGCTCTAATAAATAAATAAAATCTTAAAAACAAAACCAGTGAGCAAGGGACACCAGTGGAATAAAAGAAAGAGTCCATACAATCAAACGATTTTCAACAGGGATGCCAAGTTCATTCAATGGGAAAAGGGCAGTCCTTTCAACAAATGGAGCAGGGAAAACTACACATCTCCGTGCAAGACAACAAAGTTGGACCTGTACTTTACACCATCTACAAAAAAAAACTTAAAACCAATCAAAGACCTAAACATATGACCTAAAACTTTTAGCAGAAAACACAGCGGAAAGGCTTCCTGACACATGACACTGAATTTGGCAATGACTGCTTGGATAGGACACCAAAGGCACAGGCCCAACAACAGATAAACTGGACTTTATCATAATTAAAAGCTTTTGTGCATCCAAGGACACTACCAATAGTAAGACAACCTAAAGAATGAAAGAAAATATTTGTAAATCACATACTTGTTTTGGGATTAATATCCAGAATATATACAGAACTCCTACAACTTCACAACAAAAAAAACCCAATGTGATTAAAACATAGACAAAAGACTTCATTAGGCTTTTTCCCAAAGACATACAAATGGCCAGTAACATGTAAGAGGATGCTCAACATCACTAATCATCAGGGAAGTGCAAATCAAAACCACAATGAGATGCCACTTCCACCCATTAGGATTACTGTGATCAAAAACCCAGAAAATAAGAAGTGTTGGCAAAGATACAGAGAAACTGGAAGCCTTGTGAACTGCTGGTGGGAACGTAAAGTGGTGCGGCCACTAAGGAAAAGAGCATGGTGGTTCCTCAAAAAATTAAAAGCAGAATTACCATGATCCAGCAATTCCAATCCTAAAATTAAAAGCAGGGACACGAATAGACATTTCTACATTCACGTTTATAGCAGCAATATTCACAATCTCCAAAAGGCGGAAGCAACCCAAATGAAAATCAAATGGATGAATTGATAAAATGTGATCTATACATATAATAAAATGCTCAGCCTTCAAAAGATGAAATTCTGACACAAGCCACAACATGGATGAACCCTGAAAACATTATGCTAAGTGAAATAAGCCAGTCATAAATGATAAATAGGGTATGGTTCTACTCACATGAGGTACTTAAGAGTAGTTGAATTCAGAGAGACAAAGCAGAATGGTGGTTGCCAGGATCGAGAGGGAGAATGGAAAATTACTGTTCAATGTGTACAGAGTTTCAGTTTTGCAAGATGAAAAACATTCTGGAGATGGATGGTGGTAAATGACTGCACAATGATGTGAATGTAACTAATGCCACTTAACTGCACACTTTAAAAAATGGTAAAATGGTTAAAATGTAAAACCTCTCATTCCTTTTATATCTCCAAGTGCAATGGTCACTTCTAAGTCTTCATCTTACTCTGTCCCACTAGAACATCTAACAGAGATCCTGGGACCCTGTCTTGAAACTCTTATAACTCTATGCCCTCTTGGTTCTCTTTCTGTCTCTCCAACTACTTTTTGGAATCTTCCTTTGCTTTGCAATATTGCACCAGGGTTCTGTTTTCAGTCCCCTTCTTGTTTTACCACCCTTCTCTAGGCAAATCTAACTTTGTTTTGGTCTTAACCGTCTGACTAATTTTCTACTAGCTGAGAGAGTTTATGCTCCCCTTTAGAGTGTTACCAGAATCAGCTAAAGGCCTCCAAGTATATTCCTCACTCTGATTCCTATTCAGTCTAATTAGAAAATGAACTGCCTTCCCTTTCCTCAACTAGACCTATGAATTTGGAGGGTGAGGACTAGATCTTTTCCATCCTTCCAATACCCAGCACAGTGCTTGGAAACACTGGACACATTCAAACATTTGAATTAAACTACAGGCCAACATGGTCCAATAGAACTTTTTGCAATTATGGAAACGTTTTATAGTTGTGCTGTACAATATGGTAGCCATGAGCCACATGTGGCCACTCAGTACCTGAAATATGGCTAGTACAACTGTAGAACTGAATTTTTATAATTAGTCACATGTGGCTAGTGGCTACCACAATGAACAGTGCTGCTCTAGAAATTCCTTTGGGTTATACTGTCTTCTAGCCTGCCTCAAATTATTTATTTTTATATTTTTATTTATATTTTTAATTAATTAATTCATTCATTCAATGACCACAAGAGACAGAATTAGAAATATCCTGACTCATTGGTCCCCATAACTTTCACTATCAACGAACATCAAACACTCATGCAAATACTGAGAATCTGGGCTTCTTACATCACCTCATGATGGATGTACTTTTTAAGTGCTGCTCCTCAGCATGATGCATTGACACTCTTAAGTTAATGATTCCAAAGAGAAAAGAAAGCATCCTACCATTTTCACAATGTAGTGGGCCATTGCGTGCAAGTGTCGGGTGGAAGTTCCGCTACCAATCACAAAGTAATCTGTATATTTCAATTCTGGAGGAACCTTGATCACACAAATGTCTCTTGCATTTTCTTGCCTCAGGAGTGAAACCAGCATATCGATGTCAAACTTGGGACCGGTATGATCTGAAATGCACAAAGATTCACTTGTGTCAGGTGGCCAAGCAGAAGATTCTGTATGCATCCAGATGCAGCAGCTAACAATGAAACTGCTCCTCCATGAGGGTGTTTAGATCTAAAATGTTTTGAAAGACAGCAGCGTCCAGGCCTCCTGGAAGCTAAACCTGGGCAGTGATTTCATACAGCATCACTCAACTTTTATGGGAAGAGTGAATGTTCAGGTTACACAGAGCCACCACACATCCTTTGCTATTACCACATGCAAGTAAAACCATACATCCACAACAAATGGCTTTCTGTTTACTAATACTTGAGGAAATGAGCGACACACCTCCAACATACACAGAACTACAACTGTGACCTGAAAAGGCTCTTAGTATCTGGTCCACAATCTTAACACTTGAGAGATGAGGAAAATTAGGCCTAGCAGAATAAATGAGTAGGCCCCAAGCCAACCTTGGGGAGAGCTAAAACTTTAACAGTGAGAGCTAAACTTTAACAGTGATTTTCATTTTGAATCCTCAAGGTTTTCTTATAAAGCCATTTGGGTTATGTAGCAACTGTTATCTGTGAAAACTTACCTTTCTTTTTTCTGTAGAGATTTGCATATTGTTCTTTACCTTGGAGTATTAGAACCTATAAACTGTAGCTCTCTTACGTTCTAAAACTGATTCCCAAGAACCCGGTGGCTAAGTCCACTAAGACCTCTCCCTCTCACACCCCAACCTTTCACAGATGAGATCTGTTTACAATCTCTCAAATTTCTAAAAACTTGCAATAATTAGAGGACCTTCAATTGGCCCCGTCTCCTATCAGCGATTATGCATCTCTTGGACTCCAGCCCTAGCTATTCCTCAGAATCCTCACACCCTCACACTTTTGCCAAGTCCACTTCTCGGGACTCTAGGAAGAGTATGAAGGGAGCTGAGGACAGTGAGGCTGTGATGCCAAGGGTCCGATGCGGCCATTCGGACGTCTGGGGTTTTGGAGACGTCAGTTTCTCTCTCGGCCCGTTAAACGCAAAGTTGATGCCAACATCTTTGAAGTCCCTTCCAGCTCTTGAGCTGTAGGAGCTTTGTGACTCCAAGAGAAAATGCATAAATAGGGGAACTGAGAGGCTCCTCGACAGAGACCTGGCTCCCGGCTGCCCGGAGGGGTCGCCGCCGCCGCCGCCGCCGCCCTCCTCCAGGCTCGTACCTGCAGTGCCTGACTCCGGGCGCCCCCGACCGGCTGCCCCCTCCGCCCGCTCCTCCAGGCCCGGTCCGCCGTGCAGGCCGCGCGCGCGGTCCGGGGTCAGGCAGGCCCGGCCCAGCGCCGGTCCCGCCTTAAGCCGCCCCGCGGCCAGCAGCCCAAGCCGCGGCCCGGAGCCCACCGAGGGCCCCGCTCCCGCGGATAGAGCCCTACGCCACAGCAGCGACGCAAGCCGCCGCGCCACACAGCCTCCGGAGCCCATCGGCTTCGGCGAGCGACGACTCACGGGGCGGGCCTTAATGGAGCCCGAGCAGGTCGGCTTTCCATTGGCCAGGTCAATGCGTCAAGGCCTAGAAAATTTACGTAAGGGGCGTGGGCGGGGCCAGAGCCCGGAGGTGGGCGGAGTCTGAAGGCCAGTGGGCCGGGCGGTGACCCGGAAGGGCTGATTTGGGTTGAGGTTCGGTAGGAGTCGGAGGGCTGGTATTCGACTGCCCACCCCTTGCTTTGCTCTACGTCGTGGTGCAGTGCGCTAAGGTGTTCACTCTCTTCTCTAAATGTCTTCCTCCACTGGAATGTAAACTGCACGAAAGCAGTTTGGTTTGTTTTGAACTGGTCTCCACGGAACCTAAAAGAGCTGGTACTGAATGTATGGAAGTTGCTGCTGTTGATTATGATCAGGGATAGAAGCAAAAAAATGTTCACCTTTAGCCCAGAGGGCTGACTTACAGCCTGCATAGTTCTGATAAGGATCAAATAGTACTGGTTGCTACATTCTTAAAGGGTCTCATCACTGCCTATACTTCTCACCAATAGTTAGTATCTAGCTGAATGATACGCACCGAAGAAATCCTGTGAAAGTAGTTTTATGAGTAGAAGAAGTTCGAAGAAGATACTTAGGATCGAATACTCCCCGCACGTCCCCTCCCTCCCCTCCCCCTTGAGCATTATGCGTTTAAGGACCAGCTTCATACAGCAAAAGGGCCGCTCTTTCTACCCCTGAGTCCTGTCCCCGTGCTACTTAAATAAGCTTAGTAAGTCGCACTGTAAAATGTCTCAAGAGTTCTTTCTTGGCCTTTACGCTTATAAATCCTGCAATAATTACTGGAATTAGGACATGAAATTCCCTACTCATTGCCTATTACCAAGAAGATTATCAAGATTCCCTTGCAAATTTGAAATCCCGTGAAGAAAATCTGTTATTCTGAGCCGGGGTGGGGTGGGTTGGGAGGCAGAGGTGTAAAGGACCATTTGGAAAACTTTCTTCGTGTACACTCTCTGTATGGTGTTGTTTAGGCCAAGAGCCTGCATTGTGGGGCCCACCTATGTGAGAGCAAAGAATGTGGAGGTCCAGTTACACTATTAAACCATAGGATTTGAGAGCTGAAAGAGACCCAGGGAAGAAAAGCGACTTGCCTCTGGCCAAGCCAAAACTAGAAGCAATTTCTGAAATCCAGGCCTGGTAATTTCTGAAAGCAAGAAACCAGGAAGGGGGCAAATATCCCAAATGTCTGGAACAGTACCAAGCACACAGTAGGTACTCCAAATTCTTGATACATTATTTAATTTCTCTTACAGAAAAAACTCCAAGCACTAATTTTGGGGAAATTATAAACTACAGAAACTAATATAAGTACCTGTGTGTACCACCCCAAATATGAGTTAGTTTTGAAAATAAGAAGAATACAGTATTACAGATAAAAGTTAAGTCTCATCCTCTTCACCTCCATTTCCCAGAACATACGCTTGGATTTGGTGTTTCTCCTAGCTTTTGCCATCAGCTCCGTGTTACTACCCTTTTCTCTGAACATCGCAAACCTGATTTACCATCTGTATTTGCCATCCCATTTAATGGATCATCATCCTCATGTCCTAAACTCTGGGTTGCATTCACTCCAGGATCTCCTGGCAATAACTAATCCATTGTCAAATCCTGCTTATGCTACCTCCAAAGGATTTTTTAAAAATTCAACTTCTTGGGGTGCCTGGGTGGCTCAGTCGTTAAGCGTCTGCCTTCGGCTCAGGTGATGGTTCCAGGGTCCGGGATCAAGCCCCACATCGGGCTCCCCGCTCCGCGGGAAGCCTGCTTCTCCCTCTCCCACTCCCCCCACTTGTGTCCCTCTTTCGCTGTCTCTCTCTGTCAAAAAATAAAATATTTAAAAAAAAAATTCAACTTCGTGTCTTCATTCTCACCTCCTCAGTCTGAGCCCCCATCAGCTCTGTCACCAATCCATCTCTACTTTTTCCTCTCTTCATGCTGCTACGCATTCTACTAGAATTATTTTAGCCCCGTCTGCTTTTTGCTGTTTTCCAAACACACCATAATCTTTCAATGCCAAGCTTTGCACATGCTATTCCATTTTCTTAGAGCACGCTTCCTCCACCTTTTCACAAGATGAACTCAGACTCACTCCATAGGACCTACCTTAAACATTAAGGCGTCTCCCCCCTACTCTCTCAGATGGTCCTTCATGGGAGAAGCCACTGGCGGTACTCTGGCTTGTCCTGAAGCCATAGGTTCGGTGGTTCATCTTGTTCAGGTTGGACTCCCTGTCCAACAGCATGAAGAGCATGCCAGACAGACCAACACAAAACATCTGAGAAAGCATGCAACACAGACCCTGTGCTCCTTGGGGAGCTCAGGGTGAAGAAAGGCAGTGCCTTACCCCTACATTTGTAAAATAATGAGTCCTTGTTGCTCCTCTTCTCTTTATTTTTCTTTTAAGAAAAAAAATACAGGGACGCCTGGGTGGCTCAGTCGTTAAGCGTCTGCCTTCGGCTCAGGTCATGATCCCAGCGTCCTGGGATCGAGTCCCGCATCGGGCTCCCTGCTCTGCGGGGAGTCTGCTTCTCCCTCTGCCTCTCTCTCTCTCTCTGTCTCTCATGAATAAATAAATAAAATCTTTAAAAAAAAAGAAAAAAAATACAAAAATCAATTAAAACATTTAAATATGAAAAACCAAAGGAAATTGGGTGGGAAGAGGCAAGAGAGAAAAGGAACTGGAGTTTCTTGGGAAGGAAGGGTCCCCCATGTCACCATGCCCATTAATGAATGGGCTTGAGGTCTGGGATACGAGGCTCACACGGTGAATTTGCAGTGACACAGCTCCTTGTGGATCTGTCAGCGAAGTTTGGGCGCGTCTTGCTGGGTGAAGCTGAATGGCTGAGACAGGGCCAGGTGTTTGTGGTACCAGGTGTTAACAAAGCAGGCCACGAGAACCACCTACCTAGCATTCCCCAAGTCAGGACCTGTGCCTCACCCTTCACAGGAGCCAGATCCATCTCCGCTCCTCTTCTCTTTAAAAGGAGCTCCCCCTCTTCTGATTAGGAGGTTTGCAAACAGGACAAAAGAATTTTTAAATAGAGGGGCGCCTGGGTGGCTCAGTTGGTTAAGCGACTGCCTTCGGCTCAGGTCATGATCCTGGAGTCCCTGGATCGAGTCCCGCATCGGGCTCCCTGCTCGGCAGGGAGTCTGCTTCTCCCTCTGACCCTCCCCCCTCTCATGTGCTCTCTCTCTCATTCTCTCTGTCTCAAATAAATAAATAAAATCTTAAAAAAAAAAAAGAATTTTAAAATAGAAATATACTTAGAGTATCTACAACTAATGGGCTTTGTAAGGGAGGCAATTTTAATCTTAACCCTTCTCTCTGTGTGGTTTCCTGAGGGCAGAAACAGTACAGAGTGGAAATCTGGGGAAAAGGATGAAACTTAAATGAGCGAGGAACATTAGCTGAGGCTGGAAAGGAGTGGTCCCAACCTTTTTAATTTTAACGAGCTTTTGTTTTAAAAATTGTGGCTCTTTCCACACATGCATGACAAAAAGCTGCTGTGAGCTAAGCAATGCTTTTAAATAGAATTATATTGACTTACATTTAGCATCTACATCCAGTTGCTGTGGGAGACATGTTTATTCTGTCCAAAGACAATGTGTGATCCATATATGGATTTGAGGCTCCTTTGCAACCAAAAGGAGGTTCATGGGTTTACAGATTAGGACACACAAACGTGTAAGAAATTGATGCACAGACTCAGCAAAGGTTGGACTTGATACATTTCTGAGTCCCCAAACTATATGAATTCAGTCATTAATTTATTAAACATTTATATGCCAGACGTGATGTTAAGGGCTCCATGGTCAAATGTGGGTACGTCAGGGAAGCTTGCTCAGCCTTTCTCTAGTTTAACCCCTGGGCTCTGCTCTGTCCCAACTTGCTCTGTTCTTCCTTCCTCTCTATTCTCTTCGAAGCAGGTCCCTGAGGCTCCTCTGGTGTCATCTCCCCCAGTAGTGCCCTTACCCTCTCCCCAGTCGCTGGGGCTAGCTGCACACACCTCTGTGACTGCAGCTTCCCACCTTCCTAGCTTCCCCTGAAGCCCCAGGAAACAAGTTTGGGAGCCTTCTGACTGCTGCAAACAGAGCAAACAGGAGGCTCCTGAATGAACACACCCGGGTTGTTACTGGGGTCCATAATCTTAGGAAGTCCCTTTAGTCATGGACCTTGGTTCATACATAATTCCCCAATCCCCCAGTGAGTTGTTTCAACCCTCTGCTCTCAGCACCCCGAAGGTTGAGATTATCAAACCATCATCCTCTTCTGATTCTGCCTTTCAAAAGCAACACAGACTGAAAACAAAGTCCAACTCTAACAGCAGATGGTCCCTTCAAGTGCGGGACATTTTGCTTTTCTGTGGACCCCACTAATGGATAACATCCCCCCACCAAGTCTTTACTTCAGGTAGGAAGGAAAATCCGTGAAAACAAACAAACAGAAACAAAAACCTTTGGTTAATTAACATGAAAGACACAGTGCTGACAAACCTTGTCTCTGAAGTCATAGATTATGAGAAACTGCCGCTGGGAATTATTTCGATGAGAATGGAACATCTTACTCTTGCCTGAAGCATCAGAAGCACGTGAGTCATTTCACACGGAGAAGCAGTTTTGATAACGCTCGCCCTCCACACACCCTTCAGATAAAGGGGTTTCAGACCCAACTCTCCACATTTATCTCAACTTTGTCGTCCTAAGGAGCAAGGTCCCTGAGTCTGCATTTCAGCTCGGCTGGTAGTCAGACTCTGGCGTCCCTAACAGCGTGGGCAACAATGTTACCCCCAGGACATGTTTCTCCGCAGACCCCACACCGCTGCTGAGTCATGAGCTTTCTCCTGTGGTATTACAGAAGGATGGCGGAGCTCTGTGGCCCTCCTGACCCAAAAGGCTAATCAGAGCTCCACTCCCCACCAACAATACCTGGGGCTGTTTTCTTGCCATCAAAACCC